TTTTTCCAATAGAATTACTCTTTGTTGCATGTCTACCTATCATTTCTTTACTCTATTTTTCTTGAAGCTAACAAAATAAAAGCTTCTCAAGGACAAAGGCTCTACTGTAGTAATCCCTTTCAGTGCCTGCAATACAGTTGTTAAAAATAAAATACTAGTTTTGAATTGAGCAAGTTAGCTAATTCTGGCAGAATCCAATACATTAAGAGAAGTGGAGTTAAGTTACACAGACTAGCTTTGTGACCTTGGTTACTTACACCTCTCTGGACTCTGGGCTCCTCATCTATGGAATGAACATAGAGTATTATGTAAGAAGACTGTTATGAAAATTAAGTGAGTTAATGTATGTAAAGTACTTAGAAGAGTGCCAGACAAATCAGAACAGATCAATGTTCTTTTTCTGAAAGATTTAAAAAATATGACTTTTAGGTGGATCCATTCTCATGAATCAAAGTGATAATCAATAAAACAGTTTAGTGGTCATTTCCTTTAACTACTAGATTTCAATGAAAAAAGCCTGTGGTGATTTTAATTTTTTTTTAGTTTATTTATATTGAGAGCGAGAGAGCAAGTGAGCACAAATAGGAGAGAAGAAGAAAGAGGGGAAGAAAATCCCAAGCAGGCTTTGCACTGTCAGCACAGAGCCTGACATGTGGCTTGAACTCATGAACCATGAGATCATGACCTGAGCCAAAATCAAGAATTGGACACTTGGCTGACTGAGCCACCCAGGTGTCCCTGTTTGTGGGGATTTTAAAGAAAAAAGCCCAATATACCATCTTAAAAGTACCTATGATATTTAGCCTTGTAAAAATGACTATTTATTACCTGCATTAAGTTCCAGGTCCTATTAATTTCTAATAACAATAAAATATTATATGTACAATGTCAATTAATATAAGGTATAGTCTAATGATTTCAATTGTATGTACATTATGTGACTCTCTTACTCAGCTGACTTATTAATCTTTACTCTTTTTTTTTTCTTAATTTATTTTTGAGAGAGAGAGGGAGAGAGCAGGAGAGGTATATAGAGGGAGGAGACAGAGGATCCAAAGTGGGCTCTGTGCTGACAGCAGTGAGCCTGATACAGGGCTCGAACTCACAAACCATGAAATCATGACCTGAGCTGAAGTTGGACTGCTTAACTGACTGAGCCACTCAGGTGTCCCTAATCTTGATTCTTCTTAAAATGACATTTTTCTATTCTCTAACTCTTATCCACCTTTGCTTAAATGTCATCACTACTCGGAAGCCTTACCCCACTCCCCAGAGAGGACTTATCATATTACAACCATCTAGCTACAGCAAGACTGCTCTACTGTGCTTACTTTTGTATCTCTTGCACACAGTATAAATCCTGGCGCAGAGTAGGTCCTTCACAAATATTTGTGAATGAACCAACCACTGACATACTCCCATGGCAATTTTCACTTGCTACCATTAAGGAACTTGGTATAATGAATTATAATTACTTTCCCAATTGTCTCCTCCATTAGAGTGTAACCTTTTTGAGAGCGGGCCCATGTCTCACTCATGTTTGAACCCTGATTAACTAGCACACTGACTGGAACATTTATCAAACGTAGGTACTGAGAGGCTACTATGGGCCGGGTACTGTTTTCCAACAGTGGATAAGGCAGTCACAGTTTCTTATGGAATGACAATAAACTAATACATAGAAAGGATAATTTTTATTGGGATTAGTACTATGAAGAAAATAAAGCCTAAGAATGTGACAGAGGAATAAGGCCATTAGCTAGAGAAGTGCTAGTAGTCTGGCCTTTGTAAGGAGGTAATACTTGAGATTAGAACAAAAAGGAGCCAGTCACGTTTAGGTCAGGAGTAGAGTCCCAAGCGGAGGGAACAGCAAGTACAAAGGCTCTGAGATAGGAATCAGTTAGGTTTTTTTTTTTTTTTTTTTTTAAAGGCAGATATGGCTGGCACATAGAAAAATAAGGGAAGAGAGGAGAAGAGGTCAAAGAAGCAGGTCGGGGCTGGAGCATGCAGGGTATACTAAGTTTAGACTCTATTCTAAGAGCACCACTGGAGGATTTTAAGCGTGAAGTAACAGAATCTAATTTACATTTAAAAAAAATTATGTGGTTGTTAAGTGGTAAAGAAAAATTGTGGAGAATCATGAACTTCCTTCCACAGGCAGACAAGTTAGGAGACTATGCAATAGAGGGGCTGGACGGCATGGAGGCAGTGAAGATGGACTGAAATAGACAGACGGGTGATAAATTTCAAAGACATGGCTGGCAGGACATGCTACTGAACACGGGAAGTAGGGTGTGGGAAAGATGAATCAAAGATGTCTCCTGGGGATCTGACTCGAGCAAATTTACTAAAACGGGGAAAGAGGAGGAAATATCTACTATTCTGGACTAAGAAAGTTTCAGATGCCTATTAGATAACGAATTGGAAAAGTAGCACACAGCAGGCACTTGCTGCACACTTTTATAAATTACCACTTTGAGGGTAGACTCATCTCCAAATCAAACACATAATATAGCATTCCAAATATGGCTAACTCTATTTGCTGCTTCCCAGATCACAAAGGGAAACAGAAAAGAATAAGTGACTGAAATGACCAGACATCTCAGTTCATTTGATGAAATGTCATTTTTGCTACTACTGATACCCTTTGACCCAGATTTTTAACATAAAGGTGCCACATAACCTCCTGCCTCAGTTTCCTCAGCCATTAATGAGAATAACAGTACACCTATCTCATATGGCATGAATGCAAACACTTATTACCACATCTGGCATATATAAGTGCTCAATAAACACTACCTATTGTATTCCAGATGGAATTTCCATTTAAAACACATCAAAATGTTCTATTATTCAGCACTCATTCTGGAACAACAAGGAAAGTGTGTTTATATTTTATAGATGGCAAAGTGAGGTATGGAGACAGTTGAACGGAGCAATACACTCAGGTGCACACAATTAAAGTAGAGCAGAAAGGCACCTGGCCGTTCAGGCAACCCCAGTGATTTAAGGTATGAGGCTGCTATCCCTTCTAAGAGTGGCTTTTTCTTTCACCTTTTTTTTTTTTTTTAAGAAATAAAAAAGGAATAGTGCTTTGTGACAAAAGTCATAAGAAAGTCAAGGATGAATGCAAAGAGATCTCCATGTTGTAAAAAAAGCCTCTTGACCCTTAAACTTTTTTTCTGTAAAATGTATTGGAATACATTAAGTGCCAATTCATTTTGTGAAGCCAACTGTATAACAGCTGATCGGGTAATGCTCAGGTTTGAAATGATTTTCTCTAACTCAGCTAAGAATGGAAATAAGTACTTCACATCCCCTGACCCCTTTTCACTCTTATTCCTTTAGAAACATCATAATAGTTTTCTTCCTTCCACTTTTTACAAGCAAATTTATAGCACTCATAAAATTTTAGACTAAGTCAGAAGGAAACTGAGAGGATATCTAGTATATCCTTTCATTTTAAGGTAAAGAATGAGGCCCAGGAGGGAACTGACGAAAATGAAATGAAAGCCAAAGTGGCCTGGGACCAAGTGTCCTAATGCCCCACGGGTTACTCTTCCCACTACAAGGATATCAAATGCCAGGCCAGGCAGTCACCAGAGCTCCTCTGTGTCTATGACAGCCATCATCCATCACGTCACTACTTCCTTCTGAGTCTTAACCCTTTGGAGTCCTAAACCACACTCAAGCTAGCTGTTGCCAGTGATGGCAGCCACGCCTCTAGTGATTTCGTAAATATAAACACTAGATTTCCTGCTTAAAATGTCAAGACCTTTTCTCCCTTCCATTTTGCCTTTTGAATTTTAGAAATAAACACACCTTCTGGGCAGTAATGATTTTTTAGGGAAATATCTAAATTCTATACACTGAAAATGTGGCTGGAGAGCATGAAATAAACTCATTTTGTCTAAAACTTGAAAATAAATATAAGCAAAGGTAATCTATGGTGACAAATCAGAAGGTGGTTGCTGGGGGCCAGGGGCTGACTGGGAAGAGGCAGGAGAAAGTTTTCTGGGGGATAGAGATGTTCTGTATCTTGAGAGGGACACGCTCAGACTATACACTTAAGATCTGTGCATCTCACTGTTTGTAAACTGTATCTGTTAAAAAAAATCTAAACTACTCATGTACAAAATTCAGATTTTTAAAATTCTCTTCCAAAGAAGGGACTTGAACTGCAATCCAGCTGATGAAAGGCAATGACCAAACACAGAGATCAGTCAAAGTCAAGCTAGACACATTTCTGTTCCAACTACTCATGAGAATAACATCCACTGGACCAGAACTTGTGTCTGTGGAGGGCAAGTGAAGAGTTTCCTCTCAGGCTATGTTGATGAATAGATTCTATCTTAAAATGGGAATGAAAGTGTTATGTAAGAGCTGTGTATACTCCTATGATAACATATCCACCGCTCTACCATGGTCTAGTAAAATGCAGTTAAAATTTAATAACAGAACTTCCTCCTAAAGACCACAGAGAACTTAAGATATAAGTAAGCTTGAACACTGCATAGTAATTAAGTTTTAGATTTCTACTTTCTGTATTATTCTCCTATAAAAACTTGGTTATGTAACATTTTGCCTACTGCATTCCATATCTGGTAACACAGTCTTGACAAAAAACAAGAAGGGTACTGAAAAGGAATAAAAAATTGGCTCTCCTCTGGCTGATAAGCACATGACATTGGCTCGGGAACCACAGGTGAGTAGGAAGACAAATTAGTTGAAGATTCTGCTCTGTCAGGGCTTATCACAGAGGAGGGGGAGAAGAGGGCAAATTTAGAGTTCAAGTTACAGATAGAAAGGGAAGACAAATTTCTCACCTCTTTCGGCAAAGTGCATTGCATGATAAATGTTAGCATATGATCGTAAAAGGTCCAGTATAGAATCTGGCATACTGATAAAGGGTAGCTGTGTAAGAAAACACCATGTTCCATTACTAATGAAGGGCCCACAGGAGAATGACTTTCCCTCTTCTTAGTGATGGTCATACATACCAAATCTGGCTTGATTTGGTGAGTGAGGGGAAAGGAGAGCCACATGGAGTACAAAGTGGTGAACACCGTGGACAGCCAGGACTGCTGAACCTCACGGCTTCTGGGAATGCGGTGAATACAGTATTCGGGAGCCTAGAAGGAAACAGTAAAAATCCAAGTCAACTGGGCCATTGATAACCAAGGTAAACACAGTAACAGTTAACACTCATAGAAACAGGACATACTTTATTTAAAATTTTCATTCTAACTACTTTTAAATTAAGTTACAAAGCTCTTTCCATGCTTTATACGACGCACATCATTGGGTTATGACAGAAAAGTTCCTAAATATGATTAAAAATGTTAAAGTTAGTTTTGACACTAAGTTGGGATAAATTTTCTACAAAATATGTTTTAGGCAAAGAGGTTAACATGCTGATACACAAATTGTTCCTACAAACCAATATCTAGTATCTAATCTAATATCAAGATGGGCAAAGAGGATAGGCAGATAATCCCAAACAAAAGAAACTCAAACAGGCAATAAACACAAAAAGATAGTTAAAAATTAGGCATAAAAGAATGCAATAAATCATTTTTTACTTACGCAATTGTCAAAGACCATGGTTACCCAGTGTTTTTGAGGGTGCTGGGAAATAGGCATTTACATTCCCTGGTACAACTTTTGCTTACAGCTTTTTGGGAGGGCAATCTGCAAATATCTATCAGAATTTTAAGTGTGTCTACTTTTGATCCACATTTCTGTTTCCAGAAATATATCCCACAGATATTCATGCATTGAATTTGTAGAAATTGGAAACAGCCCAAATATCCTCCAATATGAAATGGAGAAATCCACACAACAAAATATATGAAGACAAATTAACAAATGACAGATTTATATGAGCTTACATGGAAGATGTGCAAAGGTAAATTGGTAAATTATTAAAAAGAATATGTAAGTGGCAGGACAGCATGTTTAATAGGATCCAGGGTGTATTAACAAATCACAACACATATGTGTTGGTATACACGGATGTACATATATTAGTATCTGCTTGGAAAAATCTCGAACTATTTACCACAAATTGCAAAGAGGGTGATACTATGGGATGTTGTTATTTTCCTGGTCACATATGTTTCCTGGTCATATATTGTTACCTTCATAGTAAAAGAAATGAGCATTTCTTCCTTGAATCAAAGTTTTTGGTATACTTGTTATCTTTTGCTATGAAACAGATTACCCCCAAACCCAGTAGCTTGAAACAACAAATATTTTTTGTTTCTCAACTTTCTGGGTCAGGAACCCAGAAGCAGCTTAGCAGGGTTATTATGGCTTGGAATCTCTCGTGAAATTGAAGTCAAGTTATTGGCTAGCGCTGCAATCACCTGAAGGCTTGACTGCGGCTGGAGGAGCCACTTCTAAGGTGGCTTACTATATGGCTGGCAATTTAGTGCTGGTTTTTGGCAGAAGATCATACTTCTTTGCTACATGGACTTTTCCACAGGGCTACTTGGGTATTCTCATTACATAGCAGCTAGCTTCCCAAAAGCAAGTGATCCAAGAGTAGGAAAGGCAGAAACCACAATGTCTTTTATGACCTAACCTCAGAAGTCACTCTGTCATTTGCACAAAGTCCTACTGGTTACAAAGGTCAACCCTATTTCATGTGAAAGAGACTGCACAAGGGGTCGAATCACTGGGAGCTTCTTGGAGCCTGGTTACCACACAGGTTAAGTCAGACAGTAAAGGACTAGGTATTTAATACACTCTTTCCCCCATTCTCTATTGGTTTTGAAGTACAATATACTCCTTGAGAAAAGAATAGAAAAGCCTTTTTCTAAACTAGTGGAAGACGCACAATTACCAGTCCTAAGACTGTATGTTTAGAAAAAGGTATGAAATTGTGTCTGGAGGCTTCTGCTATGCTCCAGGAAGGCACTAGTTCACAAAACGAAAATGTACTGCAAATGTGACTAGTTTGTTTCACATGTGACTGTAAAGACTATTTCCTCCTCCTTCCATGTTACACCAGTGGAGAAAGAGAAATCTGGGTTCGATATATTATTCACTATTTTTATTTATTCATCATTTATTAAATCAACATTGTTTTCCCTTCTAAAGGATTAAAGTACTAAATGTTGAACTAGAAAATAGTTCCCCAACTATAGACCAAACAAGGAGCAGTAAATAACCAAGTGGGGACAAACTTGTGAGGTATTTTCTTTGAGATCTGGGCTTGCCTAATTTGTGATTACTAATTGGAAAACAAATAACTGGCAAAATAGTACTATGAGCCAAAATCCCTTATCAGAAATCTTTTGAGTCAGAAGTATTTTTAACAGGTAATATGGGGTATCCTTGGAAGTTTGGGGAAGTAACCAAACATATTAATATTTCTGCAGCAAAACATGAATACTCACACTAAGTAGGAAAAAGACTATAAGCCTCACACCAATTCAAATCAGGTTTTGTTGCCAAAGGTGCAACAAACTTCAATTTTCCCCCCCTAGTTTTCAGAACTTTTTGGGAATTCAGATATGGGACTGTGGAACTTGTACTGCAAAATACATTTGAATCCAATAAGATGTCGTCGTTATTATTTTGGCAAAAATAACCCAGTGGGGTCTTATTCTAAAGGTTTTTTTTGGATGCTACTTTTGAGGCCTGATCTCATGATCTATAAAAATGTCTTTAAAAATGTATGGGTGTTTTACCATGTCCCTTGAATCTCTTAAAGCTGTGAGCATATCACTTTGTAAAGAAGACAGGCACAATATTTCTGCATATTTTTAGTGTCTTGAGGAGCTGGAAGCAGTGCGACTCTGGCTCTAGAAGCCCAACTTCTCAGATACCATCTGCTCTCCAGAGGGGCAAACACACAGGCCTGGTAGGGAGGGCTTTTGCGAGGGTGTCTGGGTCTGAAGACAGTGGTCTCAGACCAGGACACAGAAGAACAGTCTACATCTCGTCCCAGGCAGCAGCCTGAGCAGCAGAGAAGATGGGTTTAGGAAGTCTTGTCCAGTCTCAGAGGAGGAACAGACACTAGCAATGGGACATTCTAGGGTGGAAGACTGAGGGACTTCCAAGATGGAAACTAGAAAAACAGGCCTGAGCATGAAAAATAAGGCTAGTGACCAAAGAGCGATGGCCTCTGCTTCTAGACAAACATGCAAGAAGCTTGATCTCAGCCTCCAGATCAGACACTAGGCTGAGGAACAGAGTCCCAGTTCCAGTTCCACTTGTGGCTGGAGCTAATGGGGCCAGTGATCACACACCTACAGGGGCCAATCACCCAGTTTGCAGGGGACAGTCCCAGTACAATTATTAACAGTGCCCCTTTTGCTCTCATAAGTGTCCCAGGTGAGAGATACCACCTGATGCCAGAGTGGCTAAAATGAACAAATCAGGAGACTATAGATGCTGGCGAGGATGTGGAGAAACGGGCACCCTCCTACACTGTTGGTGGGAATGTAAGCTGGTTCAGTCCCTTTGGAAAACAGCGTGGAGGTTCCTCAAAAAATTAACAATAGAACTCCCCTAGGACCCAGCAATAGCACTGCTAGGAATTTACCCAAGGGATACAGGAGTGCTGATGCATAGGGGCACATGTACCCCAATGTTCACAGCAGCACTCTCAACAATAGCCAAAACATGGAAAGAGCCTAAGTGTCCATCAACTGATGAATGGATCAAGAAGATGTGGTTTAACTATACCATGGAATACTACATGGCAATGAGAAAGAATGAAATCTGGCCACGTGTAGCAACGTGGATGGAACTTGAGGGTGTTATTCTGAGTGAAATAAGTCAGGCAGAGAAGGACAAATATCATATGTTTGCACGTATAGGAGGATTAGGAGGAACTTAACGGGGGATCATGGGGAAGAAGAAGGGGGGAAAATAGTGGGGGAGAGGGAGGGAGGCAAACCATGAGAGACTCTTGAATGCTGAGAACAAACTGAGGGCTGATGGGGGTGGGGAGAGGGGAAGGGGGGTGATGGGCATGGAGGAGGGCACTTGTGGGGATGAGCACTGGGTGTTATATGGAAACCAACTTGACAATAAACTATAAAAGAAAAAAAAAGTGTCCCAGTTGAAATGATAAAACTATATAGTAACCCACAGGGCAGGACAATGAGTAGGTTCTTCCAAGTCACATGGGAGGAAATTTATTCATAACAGCGGGAGGCAATGTGATGGGAGACTGCATTACCATTAAGAATGAGAGTGCAAGTGGTAGCTGGGAAGAATGCCAAGCTGAAAGTTCTGTCAGTGAGATAAACAGGAAAACAGTCAGGTGATGACGAACTCAGGGAAGGGCAGCGATGAGGAGCTAGACAAGGGATCAGGACCATGACCCTGACTGGCAGGGACAGGAGAGTCCGCAGGGTGCTGCTGTCTGGCCCCCGGCTCTATTCTGAAGAGGCCCTCCAGCTCCAGATCCCATCCAAATCTTTCCTACATTATCATTTTTTGATAAAAAGTTCAGGTAATTGGAAATCCTACCAAAAAGATTTCTCTCTAAATCTAAGTCTCTCACCATGCATTCCCCCACTACAGCAGGTCAAGTTCTCCTTAGAGGCACCTTCCCCGACTAACCTTTCTAAGAGACCCCCACCCTCACATGTACACATACGCTTCCTTCCGTCATCAATAGGCTTGCCCTATGTTTTTGTTTTTGCTTCTTGGGGTTTTTTTGGTTGTTGTTTTGGGAAGGCAGAGAGGAGGAGAGGGAGAAAATCCTAAGCAAGCTCCACTATCAGCATGGAGCCTAACACAGGGCTCTATCTCATGAACCATGAGATCGTGACCCGAGCTGAAATCAAGAGTCGGGTGCTTAAAAAAATGAGTCACTCAGGCGCCCCTATGTTTTAATATTACTCCACTCACTCTACTGGCATATTATATACTTACGTATTTACTCCTGTCTTCCCAATTAGAATAATGTAATCACTGCAGTCTCAGTGCTTGTTAAGAGTACCTGCTTTACAGTTGATGCTCAGTATTTATTGAATGAGTGATTCAATATTAGTTATTGTACATTAATAGAAATTAATTCAATCTTCTTGTCACCTAGCTGAGGTGTATTTAGATGGAGGATATAAAAAGCACAAAGACGGTGATTTCAGAGTGCACCTTTATGGCTTTA